TGTCTTGGCAGATAAAGCAATACCAGAACAGGCCTACGAACACACATATTTGATCAGGATCGGACGATTGGATACTTTTAAAAGGAGATCTTTCGTGCCTCCCGGAAATTCACGGGAGAGCAGATGTGGGGTTTAAAAAAAAGGTGTCGAATATAGCGTTTTCAATCACTCGGCACCCTTTTACGAGAATGGCGCCCTTTTCATGATCTCAAGGCGCCCTCGTAACCATCTGGCGGCACAAGGTAGCACTACTGACTGTGCGGCGCCCTTCTGGCCTCTTAGTGCCCCTGGACCACATAGCGTTTTCAATCACTCGGCGCCCTCCTAAGAGAATGGCGCCCTTTTCATCGTCTCACGGCGCCCTCGTAAGTCGTAACCGTCTGGTGCCTCCACATTTGGTGCCCCTCCTGCTGGATGGCGCCTCTCTACATCTTTTTTACGTCCTTCCGGTCAGTTTCCACTTTTAAGCGTGTATTTGCTTAGTCAGACACGTCACTTGAAGCGCCATTCGGCTAGCAATGTTATCAAATTCGGTGTTAATTTAGGCTCCCACATAAAGAATATCTATCGCGCCCCAAAACGGCCTGGCGCCGGGCGCCCCTACAGCTGGGCACCCACAATCATTTTAGGAAAATTACACCCCTGCCCGTATGTGTGGTTAACTTTAAGCTGATCCTCAAGTACCTATGTGTTTGTCTCTTCCTTATTGTCGTTTGATAAATTCCATTTATCCTACATGTATAATTCCCAAGAAGCCATCGCAGTACTAATCAGTGGCGAATCCCAGGGTGGAGGTCACATGGGTCATGACTTAGGGCCTGGGGTCACCACATGCCTGCCAGGAGCACCACAGGCCTGACAGCCGACAGGGGCACCACAGGCCCGCCAGGGATGCCACAGGCCTAGCAGGGGCACCACGGGCCTGTCAGTGGCACCACAGGCCTGTCAGGAGCACCATCGGCCTAGAAAAAGCACTACAGGTCTTCCAGGGGCACCACAGACCTGCCAGGGGCACTATCGGCTTCGCAGGGGAACCACCGGCCTCGCAAGGGCACCATGGGCCTGTCAAGGGCACCACAAGCCTGTCGTTGGCAATTTAGGATTGTCAGAGGCACCACAAACCTGTCAAGGGCACCTGCGTTCTAACAGGGGCACCACAAACCTGCCAAGGCCCAGGGACACCACAGGCCTAGCAAGGACACCACAGGCCTGTCAGGGGCACCACGGGCCTGTCAGGGCCCATGGGCACCTGAGTCATGTCAGGGCCCACCGTAGGCTTGTCAGGGGGCAGGGTAGGTAGGTACCACAGTCTTTCCAGGGGCACCAGCGGCCTAGCAGGGGCACCAGTCATCACATAACCAAAAATAAAGAAAAAAAAACTGAAAATAGGGCACCACCAAAATTAAGTGGCCGAAATCCGTTGAGGTTTTAATTTTGGGCATAGGTAGGGGCACCACTTCGATTCATGACCCTCCCCTTGGAGTTTTCCCGAATCCGCCCCTGGTACTAATATATCAAATTTAAGGGGGGGCACCTTGCTATTGGTGCCCCCCTTGCAGAATTCAAGGGGGGGCACGGTGCCCCGGTGCCCCCCCCGTTCCGCCGCCTATGCTATTGGAAGTACCTATCTCTTCCGTCCCAACTTACCCCTGGCACCAACTAGCCCCGGTCTCCCTTACATGTCAACAAAGAAATAAGACTCGACTTTATTTTCCGCCAATCATTGAACGCGGCTATTATACCTATTTACTTACCCATCTGACACCACAGTCGACGGTCTCGCTCTAAAATGAACGCCTGAACACGTTTTATTGATGCCATTTGTAACAATGACTTATAGCTGACCTCCACGGTCAACGAACATTACCCCCCACCCCCACCCCCACCTCCCCCTCTTCCCTACGTTTGTTATGTAGGTAGCGTAAGCATCCGCAAGGTGGCAATATGCGCACCAACCCGTGCAGCTGATGCATTCTGAACGCCCTGCAACGCCACGCAACACAATAAGTCTGCATAAAACCCATTCGTGCATTGGATTGGTCTCAGAAAGCCACAAATGTTGTTCACACATCAATAACAAATCAAACTTTAAAACTTTTTATCACACCAGTCGCCTCCCTGCTCGCAGTGCACAATGGTCGCATTATTGACATGGACTGTTTTGACTGGGGTATCCGTATAATGCCCTGTCCTGCGTTATGCAATATATGCATGGCAAAACGCTTAAACCCGTCACTGGATGGCGCAATCGACGAACGCCCACCAGATAGGTGTCATGGATTTGGAAATCGAAATCAGGTCCTTCTTTTCCCACACCGCAGCTGATCGTAATGACCGGATCCAGCTCTACGAATCCGCACCCCTCTCTGACTAATCGACTTTCTCACATGCTCCATCTCGCACCTGTGTCGTAGTTTTGCTGATTTGCGATCAGCCGTTTCCCAGCGCGGTTATACCAGTAGTACTCCAGAAGAAGTAAGATCAGACTGGCCGTGACGGCGAGCGGGATGATCAGCAGCAGAGCGATGGAGTTGTCCAAAGAGATTGGCGTCGCCGTTATCTCGTTTGAAACAGTGCACGCATGGATTCGCCTAGTCCACTTCTTCTTCAGCCGCACGAGGATGCCCACCTCGTTCATTCTTTGTAACTCTCGGTTCATGGCTTGTCTCAGATGGTCGCGCCCTTTAGCGATGGCGATATAATTTCTGTCACCTCGCTTAGGGCGATCATATAATGGAGTGAGGATGCAAGCTTTGCTGCCAATCCTACGGAATGTCGCTCTAGCATCCAAGAAACTCAGTGTTTTGGGCTCCAGTGAAAGAAAGTCGGCTTCCGTGTTGTTGTAAGGAACGCTTCGATCTCTCTCCATAACTCGTTGGTATAATTGCCTTTCAAATGGATCTTTGCTCACTTTCCAGTCATTTAGATAGATATCATCGGGATTGATAACAAGCTTCCAGTCAGGGCGTTCAAGGAATTCCTTCAGGCCGCTGATCGGTCGCTCAATTTTGACGACAGTTAGGTAAGAGGTCAATGTGGCAGTGTAACTGTTGACGATGATGATGTACAGGAGCCAGATAAGGATGGTGATGATACGGCCGGACAAAGAGCTGGGCACCGAGGACCAGCCCTGGCCGAGGAATGACCCGAACACAGACAGCAGGCAGGCCGTCCACGTCATCTCTGTGCTGGTTTGTCTGTCCTCGGTCCCGCTCAGTCGAATGGAGAACCTCAGCGCCAGTGAGAGCAGTAAGAATGCGCCGAGCACGAGCCACCAGACGGGCATGTGGAGCGGCTTTAGCAAAGAGCCGAAACTGTCAGCAGTCAGGCTGGGCGTATCGTCCATGCTCATGCTAATGTAAAAGTCGTTGAAGCTTTCGTCGATAGATGCACTGTCTAAAAAATCCACCACTGACGATCGGTCATTCTTGATCTGGAGCCAGGTCAGGGCAACATCGGCTCTCCCATAGGCCAGCTCTCCGATTAGTCCGCTCCATGTCCCGTTTTCGTCTAGCCTCCCGTATTGGAACTGGTTTCCCAGCACAGGCACTAGACGGTAACGAAGTTTCAACGACTGGGCTATTATTTTCCAAACTTCAAACAGATAACCGTCATAAGTGACGGCACCATCAGGGCCGGTGTGTATCCAGATGTAAGGAGGATCTTGAAAAGCGGTGACTCGCAGCTCTGGCTCAGTGGCGTGGTTGTGGCTTGCCGATGACCAATTTCTGCCCACGAAGTGAAGACCGGCCATCAACAGCAGCCACTGTCTCTGGGCAGTGGTTTGCGCACTGCCTCCGACCCTTACACAGCCGCCCGCTCCTCGCGCACTCATGGCACCGGGGTGCTGGACCGACACCGACGCCTTACGCCAGCCCTGCTGCACACATGTATGCTGCGCGCACTTAAAAAAGTTTTACACATTTATCATTGCTCGGCTGGTACTACACCGCATACTGCGAGCGTATTCCGGTCACTGGTCAGTGTCAAGTGGAGGTCAAATTATCACACAAGGAGCGGTGGTAAGTGGTACTGCAACGACGTCATCAAACCACCATTTCTGAGAAGTTTCGACAGGAATTATATAGCAGGGAGGCGCCGTGCAGTGGACGCTATAGCGGTCGGAGACTGACGTTACAACCGCTTATATAAGCATGTTTCAGGTGTCATAAAGTCATACATATTTAACCTGACATTTTAGCTACGCTTGGCAGTAGCAATCGGAACATTGAACAATAGCGTGCCCAGGAATGACGAACCTTTTTTTTTATCAGAGCCGGTTGTGTGCGTTGTGCAGTATGCGAGCCGAAATAGGTATAGTTGTTGCTTAGCAGCTAGCGTTCGTCCTGCCATGAGGGGAAGATGGTAAGGAGCAGCCCGTATACATAGCTTGTCGTCAATATTTATGAAAAACGATGACGCGTACCACCTATAGCTCCCACGCTTTCTGCACACCATTATACCTACATTTTTCTGCACGTTTTGTGAAAATTTCAGCATCAGGTCGTTCGAGGTCAGGTCAGGCCGCCGGATTTCGTAGGATTGCTCGATTGCTCTAAACTTTTTAGTGATTCATAAGACTAGATAAATTGGATCTAGAGAAGTACACCTCTGAGCTCTGATTTTTGTTATTGTTTCAATGACCTTTTGGCAACGTAAATTTGCGACCTCTTTTTTGAAGTCAATAAATAAAAATAAGACTGCTTCTCTTTCGGACTACAGTCGTTATGTAGGTTACTGCATTGGCTATTGCATTTGGCCTTGATTGCATTTATTCGGACTATTGACTTTCGGACTGCACCCATTTTCTGAAGGTGGTCGGGAGATAGCCTGTTGCGCTATTTTGCACCTCTACATTGACAGCTGTCTGGACCGGGCATGGGGAAAACAACCCGTCTGGCCAGCGCCGTCCGCTGTTTGTGTGCGCGGGGAGCGGACGGAGGGGCGGCCCGAGCGGGGGGACGGGGCGGGCCGGCGCGTCTCGGGATGGCCGCTGACCGCCGGACTGAGAGGGATGAGGGGAGGGACCGCGGACCGGCCGGCCGACTGCGGGGAGGAGCGGGGTGCGGGTGGCGCCGTGTGAAAGCGCTCGGTGGCTGGACGGTCTGCCGGCAGGCGACATCCCTCTGCAGTGCCGCAGGGCACCAAATCCTGCCAGAGAGGTGAGTCCCAGGTGACGTTTGTTGTCTCATGATTTCATTGTTTTTTTTTTGTTTTTTTTTGCAATACTAGCAGCATAAGCGCTTTTCATATAACTAAAATGTTAGAAATCGCTTCGTAACCTCACAAGCTGAAGGCATGTGGATGGGGCTGGGGCTACCACTGTCCAAAATGATTTTTTTTTTTGCAATGTCAGCACTGCTCCTGTTAAATGGAATTAAATCGGAAGTGTGAACCAGAGCCTGTCACTGATTTAATCGACACATTTGGGGCATTTCATTTAAATCCTTCTTTCCGATCACTTCACAGTGCAGGAGAGACGTTGAATTCAAATAATGGTTGACCTGACTGCTAGCCGAGCACGTAGAAGACGACGAAAGAGTGCCCGCAGTGAAGCCACTGGTACAAAAGGGTCACCGGAAAGGAAGCGCTGTCATGTCAATAAGCTGCCCACCGAAGTCCTGCAGAAGATCTTCTCGTACCTGAAGGTGGAGGAACAGCTCCTGGCACGCCAAGGTAAATATAACGCTCTTACACCTGTGAATGTAACGAGCCTATAGGGCGCTATGTAATGGGAACGTCTACGGCTGGAGCCCATGAAGGTCGGTATGTAGGTTATTTTGCCTTTGGAGCTGCCTTTTCCCACGAGTGGACCTCGATGAGATCGGAGAGCGTCAGTTTGTGTGACTGTAGAGGCACAATAATCATTACCGGAAAAAGTCGGCGCCGCTATTTTTCCGATGAGTGCCGACATTTTTATGACGATGACGGCTTTTTAGGTGGCCGGTTTAAAAGAATGTTCATAGTGCCTCTATGAGGCGAGTAAGAAAACAGCATTAAAATAATCCTTGATCTGTGTTGGAGCGTAATTTATATACAGCTATAACGTATCAACACTATCAGGCATCAGCCGTTTTTCGGAGGCTGCTTAGAACGGTCGTTGTTTGTCGGCGTTTTCTCATGACTGCAGCGGCAGGCTGTGGGCAAGCTGTGGGTGTTTATAACTGTCCGATTACCACCGACTCGACTCGTAATTGACTCTGGGTCTGGGTATGTCTGCGTGCCGGGCAGTGTGCAGCCGATGGCGGGCGGTGGCGGACAGCTGTCTGGCGCTGCGGCGAGACCTCTACCTCAGCGGCAAACCGCCGCCGCTGGTGACCGTCACTGACGACCTGCTCGAGTGGCTCCTGCCCAGGATGCCCCGCCTGCGGTGTCTGGTGATCGGCCGAGCCGGTCAGCAGCGGCCACTCAATTTAGACATTGTTTGTGAGTATATTGCTGCCACTCGGCACTCAATCTGGATGTCGTAAACGAGTCTCGACAACTCTATTCGGATAATTGGTTTACGGTTATTCGAATGCTAATTGTGTTTGGCCACTCCATTCAGACAATTAGTTTATACGGCTACTCGTATGTTATTGTGGCCCATCTGACAGGACGACCCTAAATGCTCATCGGTAAGTTGCTGACTGGGTGGATTCAGGACTGGCCATAAAATATCCGTGTGTGCAGGGCAACTATACTGTATTGCCTTTTGCCTCTGTAAAACCAGTGTGATTACCCAGCTGGGCCTTGTGATTAGGTGACTGTTGATGGACTCGTATGCCGTGTTTCAGCACGCCACTGCCGCCACCTCTGCCTAGCGGTGCTGGCGCCGTTTCACGTGGACGAGCCGTCGCTGCGCCGACTGTGCGCCAGCTGCCCCCGGCTGAGGGCGGTCGTGCTACCGCCGCAGTGCCGCCGCCGGCCCCTGCTGGGTCCCCTGCTGGCCGAGCTGCTGCCCCAGCTGCGCTACTGGGCGTCCCAGCCGGTCTGTCACCGCCGCCGGCGCCGCTCCCACCGCCGGCACCGGTGCGAGCGTTCCCGCGCCGACAATTAGACCACTCGGGATCCGACTCCCACTCGTCTGTGCAGTGAGATGGACCGGGCACTGCGTTATGACAAATGTTATAAAATGTTTGTTTGATTTTATCGTCCCGTTTTACATGAACTTTGACTATAGACGATTGGAATGCTATAAGAATTCGTCCGTTGGCGCGATTGCATGAGCTAGGTATTTACGGGTAAATAATATGCAAGTAAAGAGTTTGTACCCATCTTACTTGTGATGTTCAAGCCTGTGCCAGCAAGAGGAAGCCATAATAAACATCATTTATTACGTTAGCTCACTGTACGCATATGCTTATCAGTCCCGCCCAGCTCCTGTACCGGCTCAACGGACCCGTGCGGCGCGGCAGCCCGGAGCCGGTCCCGGTACCTACGTGCCACCGCCGCTGTTCGTGCCTAGTCGAAGTCCATCGGTACTAATAGTGCCATCAAAAATAGCATTGAATGCTGAATTCTTACATACTTGTTTGAGACCTTCGGTCAGTCGCTGGCCACTGAGTGGCGTCCATATATTGGCATCTCTACCTAATAAGCCTGCAGGCTGCATGTTTTTGTACCTACATGGGTGCGCTTATTTACCCATGCATTTCACCTACAGAAAGTAGTGGACATACAATCCTTCTCACTGAAAGAACAGGGCTCACAGGTCACACTCAATTTAACCCTATTCCTGGCGGGCTCCGCCATGGGACAAGAAACTGGCGGGGGGCCGATTCGGCCCCCCCTTCAGTTCTCAAAAACTACACATCGCAGCGACAAACGGTAAACGGCATCGGATACGCACGGTCAAGATCTACAATTTTTACTAAGGTCATTTTCAGGTCAGGTCAAAGATGACGTCACAGGGGTCGAAAAAGTCAAAATGGCGGCGCTAGATATGGAGAGAGTTTTTCTCGAATAACTTTCGAATTAGTCAAGATAGGAACAAACTAAGGGCATCATCGTGATCCTCTCGTCAATCCGCATCGAATGATATATATGTTGACCTCGAAAGGTCAAGGTCAAAGGTTGACCTCAGGTCACGTGACCTCGAGGTCATCATGTATATCATTCGATGCATCTTGACGAGCTGAACACAATGAGACCATCCACGCGTCTGTATCTTGTTCCTGTACGGAGTTATTGGCCAAAAACCTTTGGTGACCTTTGATGACGTCACATGACCTCACAGCTGCCCAACAGCAAAACAGACCTCAAGGTAGTGAAGGTTGATCGTATATGAAGTCATGTATGGTATATGGGGCCATTCCGACCCGTTTTAGTGGTAAAAACAGGGAGTTGATTTTTCCCCCATTGACTTATAATGGGGAGGTCGCGAAACTGACCTGACCTTAGGTCACCGATATCAAAATTCCGAGATATACAAATTGCACATACTGGTACCCTAACTAAAGCCTGAAGAGAAGAAACTGATCGATCAAAAACTCTAGCTCTGGCGTGATTGCAAACTTTTCTGAGGTAGGGTCACCAAACCGCCTCTGGTGACCTGACCTGAGGTCAGATCAACTCAAAATTTTCAGACATGTTGCGTAGAAGCCTTTTAGGAAAAGTCAGAAAATTTGAGCTTCCTAGCTCAACGCGTTTGGGAGAAATAACCAAAAAACCTCAGGGGGGGGGCTCCTGAGGCCCCCCCCGCCAGGAATAGGGTTAATGATGTATGCTAGTATAAGGATTATGAAATGACGATAATAACTCAAGTTTATTGTACAAGACAAAGCTTTCGATACATAAAGTATCTTGATCACTGTCAATGAGATGTAGACAGTGATCTCATTGACAGTGATCAAGATACTTTATGTATCGAAAGCTTTGTCTTGTACAATAAACTTGAGTTATTATCGTCATTTTACATCTGTCATGGATTCGTTACAATAAAGATTATGAGATAGGCTTATTTTGAATGAATCTGGCTTTGGACCGAAACTTTGGACATCGACGCTCATCATCGGCCTTCAGACGGTGCGGGAGATAGGATCGGAGCGGCGGGTCTCAAAGATAATTTAGGTAGGTATATCTTTTATGGGGATTAGGAGGTGTTCAAAAAGATAACACGCCTGGCAACTTCTTCATCGCCGGTCAAGGCACATGCCACCAGAAATGAAGAGAAGAAATGGCTCAGGTTTTCTCAGAAGATGGCAGATTTGATGTATAATAAGGTACTGAAAGTTTGGCGTCGCTAGCATAACGCGTTTAGAAGTTATTGGCGAAAAACTTGATAGATGAAAGAAGTTTTTGGGATTCTGCCCCCGCCCCCAACGGGGCGCAGTTAAGGAATCTCTCGATTTTAAGGAAATCTCTGTAAAACGCATGACGATGTCACGCAAACTCGGAAATCTCGTACCTATAAAAAGTTCAATTATTTGAACTTTTCATCGGTTTTTGCGTGATCTCGGCCGGGAAACATGACTTGCGCGCTGCGGCAAGCAGTGTGAATGTAATTTTGTGTTTGTTTTTGACGTTGTTAAATATGTTTCCAATTCTTGTGTTGAAGCTAGGAAATTTTTTGTAGAAGCTTTTTTTAGTGTAAAGAGGATGAGTAAAGGTAAGACATGATACACATAGCAACCCTACATATTTCATTTTGCACTTAAAGCAGTGTCAAATAATGCAGGGGAAAATGGTTTAGTTCAAATAGAAATTAGCGCAGTGGTGATAGGTTTGTTTGGAATTAGGTAAATGAACTCGCTGCAACACTAGTGGACCGAGCTCGGAGGCCGGAGTTGAAGGGGGCCAATCGTAAAAATGATTCATTTCTATACATGCATTGCCCAGATTGGAAAAGACACATATGCCGAGTATGTCCTTCGTAGTGGCGGGATTGCGCCGAAAATTTCAGTGCACGTCTGGCGTAATTTCGCATGCGGCGAATTCAGTGCATGGTGGTCGCTGAATTTCACTGCGAATGGCGGTCATCAATTTTTTTTTCAGCACCATGGTCAATCTAGCAGCAGACTCGCCCTGCGAGCGGGTCTGAAGAGGGTCTGAATTCTGAACTTCCGGCTCGGGCCTTGTTTCACAGCATGACGATACCGTGTGCCATGACGCGTGTTGTGGTATTGGGTTTTCATTGGAACATCAACTAATTCAGACGCTCCAACAGGGGAGAGCGTCCGAGGCACCGGAACACTCCTGGTTGATATAGCCTTGATCGGTAGATGTGCATAGTGCACACGCGCTTAAAGGGACCCTCCCACCTTTAAAAAAGTTTATGAATTGGCATGAAAGTGATGTCGCTCGGTTCAGAAAGAGCGAAAACGAATATCTACCAAATTTCACCGAAAAATATTCACCGGTTTTCAAGATATTAGACTTTTACTTTTGTTTACTTTTTTGGGATCTCCGCTGTTTCTAGCGACTTTATTTTAGAAGTGCGGCGTTTGCGGCAGATGTTGCGCGCAAATAGCATATACAGCCCGGTTCCCACTGGGCCCGTCACCCGTCGAAACGGGCCCGTCGCCGTTGACGGGCCCGTCTACGGCCCGTCCCTGACGGGCTCAGTGGGAACCGGGCGGCGAGGCCACATGACGGGGCGCAACAGCTGACTGCGACGGGCCCGTCGCCGTCGGAGCCCGTTTCGGAGACATGAAAATATTCATGTTTTGGTGCGGAACGGGCCCGTTTTCGTGTCGGTGCTTCTGTGTTCCTTCTCATTTTACGTTTGAGTATGGTTTGAACGAGGTTGTAGATGACTGTCAAACATGTAAAACTGATTATTTCAGTAAAATAGCGTAGAACGTCGTACATTTTGAAGTGAAATTGTCGTTAAACTCCTCTAGCAATGCGCCGCTCTGGTACATAAGTCGGTCTAGCCATGAGGACAATGCTCAAATTTAACAGCTCAAACAGGAGCCCCCCCCCCCCCAGCACAATATTACATTACTGATCATCCAGCGGTTTGGATGGAAATGTGATGGTATTTTAATTTTTAGGCAGTCAACTTGATTGAAGTGTGGTCATGTCTGGAAAATATTATTTGACGCGCCCCGTCCTTTAAGGGAGGATTAAGGGATGAAGGAGGGGAGTTAGGCCAAAATAAGTGTCAAATTCGTGTTCCCCGCCCCCTAATTGACCCCTGGGGTGATTTTCCTGCCCATTTAGAGACTTTTCAAAAAGTCTCTAGATTTTTCAACTGGCCATTAGATCTGGCAACTGGGGTGACGTCTGCTAAGAGAGTACCAATATTATGATAGTAGGTGTTTGAAATAATTCAAGCAAACCTGTATTTGTCCAGTATGTTCACTTCACGTGCACACTGCACCAAACCTCTCGCCAAACTGACCCCTCTCCGCCGGAAGGCGGTAAGGGGGACGCGGTCGCTCGGACAGACCCCCACAGCGAGACGCGGCACCGTCGCGTGGTCCGGGAGGGCCCGCCGGACCCGGGACGGACTCCCCACAGCGAGCCGCCGCCGGCCAGCCAGCCTCCCCGTTTCCCAACACTGCGCGTAGAACGAATCACGCGCGCCGTTTTTGTCACGTTAAGTGCTACCAGATGGCCCGTTTCATGGCTACCATATTCAACTTCGGAAAAGCGGCCTTCAAAACGGTCGGTGACGGCGACGGGCCCGTTTCGACGAGTGACGGGCCCAGTGGGAACCGGGCTTAACACCGCGTGCTACAAAACGTTTAGTCAAACATCAGGGCCTCCTCTAAGGATTTTTCACTGGGTGGGCAGAATTTTCGCTACTCCCCTGCCCAAGGGCGAATCCAACCACTGTTTTGGGGTTCAACCAATTTCAAAACCTGTTACGGGGGGGGGGGGGCGGGGGTGAGGCGAAATAAGCAGTGCCGTTATTGGAAATAAGATGATAGTTTGCAAAGTTAACGTTTGTCGTATGTTTTATGGTTAGCGATGCTCGAGCGATTCGTTCCAGAGTTAAATGTACAGCCCTCCGCAAACTGCGTGGTAGGTATTCTTATTCGGTATTCTTGCTATTTTGACAATGTACCAGTTTTTGTGACCTTGTGACCTGGCCTCGGGTCACTGAAACCTAAAACTCCAAGGCCAAGTGACAAACGGATGCTCCAAGTCGTGTCTTAAATTTGGTAGCGCTACGTGCTATAGAACTCACGCTATCAACGAAAAACTCTGGCATTCGGTTGCCGCTAAACTAGTCCAATTTTCCCCTGACCTTGTACGGGGTTTGTGACCTGGTGACCTGACCTGAAAAGACTAGAGATCTGAAATTTTCAGGACAAGTGCCAAAAGGTTGCCCCAGAGGGTATGCCAAATTTGAGCGCCGCCGTTTTTACGTTATTTGTGAAAAACCTTAGGGG